TCTTGAAATTGAAAGATTGAATGTGAACACTATTTGATATCATCTGTCAATTGATGAAAAATTATAACAACATAATTATAGTCAACTTAAAGAAAGATAAACATGGATTAAGAACAGTATTCAGTGTAGATATAAATATTACTCACATAGAAATATAATGACTGTAATTAAAACAGAAATATAATTAGTTATGATAGAAAATGATTAGTAATCATAATGATATAATTCACTCGACATTATATTCATTATCACTATAAATATCGTCATGTATTTTATCTTAAATCATTATCACTTCATTCTCTTTTCATTGGCAATCTTTACCATTATAAACATAATCTATAGAAAATGGAAAATCTACAGCAAGAAAATATGGTAAATAAATATTTCCTTCAATAATTGATCATTTATTTAATAGAATTGAAATACTTTTCATTAAGAAACATCTATTTTGAATATCTTCTGAACTTGTTTGTCAATTTTGTTTACCGTATTCTTACGAAATTTTGTTTTTCTTTTCACAGTTTGAAATCCGTCGCCCTAAGTAAGCTCGTCGTAATTTATCTCAACAAATGAGGAAGAATATGATGGAAGTTGATATGACGTCATCACCAATATGCTACAATAAGAATAAGATGGTACAAGTTAGAAATCAAGAAATAAAAGATGAAATAAATGAAAGACAAGAAGATGAACGAATTAAATCAGCTGTAGAAAGATTTTCAGATGATGTAGAATCAATGATGATATTGTGCGTGACATTCGAACAAGACGGTTGTGTTTAAGTTAGCTGTAGAAATCATTGATCCGTGTAGATATTTTGAGTGTACTTGTATTCGATTCTTCTCTTGAATTACATCAATTGACCTGAAGATACAACTGCATAATAACCGTAGAAACATTCAAGTTACAGCAGATGCTAAGTATATATGTTAACTTTAGAAAAATCAACAGGCAAAATATTTGCTATAAACTTCGGTGATTATCGCTCATCTGGTGTACATGCACACGCCATCAATGAGGTCAAGAGGCAGACGGTCGTAGTAACCAATATCATACACCTCGTTATATTCATCGTACCTGTTGTAGGTATTTTGAAGATTCCTGATTATATGTTTTATAGAATTTATTTTGCAAATTGAATTATGGACGCCATTTCAATGGACACAGCCGAGACATTTGTGAAAGAAGTAATGGCGACCCCCAGCATATCAACAAAAGCTGTGGTCCATGATGTAGATCTGGGAGAAAATAACAGATTTAGAGAAAGATTGTCGAGTAATAAAAGGTCTGCTGACGAGGTTACAGAGAATAATAGTGAAGATGAATCAGCTATGACTAAAAAGACGAGATGCGGACCTACATATTCTAACAAAAGTGAAAGCCCAGTAAGTAACATCAATTATATTGAAACTGGTGAAATATTGTCCGCCATCCATAATTTGGGTAAAATGATCAATACAAGGATAGACAATCTTGAAGATTCTCTTTCTGATAGAATTAAGGGCATTGTTCAACATGAGATGTCTGATATGAAAGCTGATATTGATAGTGAAATTTCCGAATTAGAAACGAAGATTTTGAAACTTGAAAACGAAAAGCTTGAAAGTGATAGAACATTAACTCATTATGTACAAGAGTAGAGACAATGAGAGCAAAATTACCGATTGAACTTGATAGCATTGTGATAAAAATATGGCCTGAACTTGCCTCGGAGGAAAACGATAATCGTGTTACAATAAATCGTGTGACTAAACTTTTTAAAGAAGGCCTGAAATTGCCCAACATAAACATTATAAACGCGGAAAGGAAAAAAACATCATCACATAAACCCGGTGTGATAGTTGTCCAACTCCAAGACAGTGCACAAAAGAAACTAGTCTTAGAAACTAAATCAAAGTTGAACACTAATAAACAATTTGATAAAATTTATATAGAATCAAGTATGTCAACAGCTGAACTCAAAACTCAATCCAGCCTAATTACCCTAGTTAAAGAACTTGGTAAACAGGATTCATACTTTGTTAAAGGTAACAGTATCATGAAACGAAAATCTAATTCAGGAACAAGATTTTAAGGGCTACGACTATGTCATTGGAACTGTGCTGGATGGTCAGTTAAAAATGGTGATAGAGTTGTTTTTAGAGAATCTGTGATAAATGAAGGTAACTTTGATGTCTTGTTTTTATGTGAAACATTTTTACGTTTTAATGAAAAAATTGCAGTAAATGGATATAAGTGGCTTGGGAGAAACAGAGATATCACTCACAAGAAAGCGAAACGTGGGTCCGGTGGTGTTGGGTTCTTAATTCGAAATAACATTTATGACGAGTACCATGTGTCTATTCTGGATGAATCCCTCGAAGATATCCTATGGATAAACTCGCGCACAAATCAAGTGATACATGTGTGTGTTTATGCGTGTGCTACCTACCCCCTAATGGATCTTCATATATGACAGACGCAGAACAGTTTTATAATAATTTGTTGAATCAGGTATATTCTTTTCAAAATGAAGGTCTTGTGTGTATCAGTGGTGATTTTAACTCTAGGGTGGGTGACCAATCTGATTATATCCTGGGTGTTGATAATTTACCCCCTAGAGCGGTTATTGACTACACGGAGAACAGTTATGGCACACTTTTTACTGATTTCTTATGTGATACTATGTATGTATGTTGAATGGTCGCATTTCAGGTCGCAATGATTTTACATATGTTAGCACAACCGGCCGATCTGTAGTTGATTATGTTGTCGCTCCACATGAACAGGTTAGTCTGTATTCAGATTTTCAGGTTTGGAGAATGTCGGAGCTGATTTCTTATAGTAATCTCACGGTTCCTGAGAAAATACCTGACCATTCCCTCCTTGTGTTCACATTAAATATTGCAGGTGTCTCTCTTTCCGGAACGAATTCACATGACCACATCTCCGGTGCTAAACCCAAGCCAAAGCTACATGTGCCAGAAAACTTTCTCAGTGAATGTACACCACAAATTCTTGAGAAAATAAGTGCAATAGAAACAAATCTAAGGTCTGAACATGATATTAATCTTGCATATAAATCGTTTGCTGAATTCATCATTAATGAAATGTCGGCACCACTAGCGGAAGGGAAGGGTTGTAAGAAACTTACTAACAGGAAAAAGCCATACTGGAACGAAGCTTTAGAAAAACACTGGAAAATGGTACAGGCGAAGGAAAGAGAATGGATTAAGTGTAAAAGTAAGTTACGCAAGTCCCATCTACACGGTGCCTTTATCAAAGAGAGAAAAGGGTTCGACAAATCCCTTAGACAACATAAACGCCATTATTTAAACAATAAACAAAGTGAGTTACTAGAACAATTTTCTGTCCATGATAAACGAGATTTCTGGAAATCGTTTGGTAAAATCGGCATTGCAAACGATCGCAAACATGTGATTCCACTAGAAGTGACGAACTCTGAAGGTGAACTGGTAACAGACACTGCGACTGTTTTAGAACACTGGAGAGACGATTATTCCAAGTTGTATAACTGTAAACCAGAACATGGTAAATATGATGACGAACATTTAAAACGTATTCAGCAATATGTGTTTTCACCTTCTGAAATTTTGAGAAATTGTGATGACATTAATGACCCCATTTGCATTTCTGAGGTACGAAATGCGATAGATCATGCTAAACTAAGAAAAGCTACAGGGATTGATAGGCTTCCAGCAGAGAGTCTTAAAAATCCTGTTTGCCTTGATATTTTACATAGAATCTGTAACTATTGCTTTGAGCATAACATTGTGCCTGATAAGTGGAATATGAGCATCATTAATCCTATTATGAAAGCAAGCACAGATAAATATATACCCTTGTTGTATAGAGGTATTTCATTACTGTCTATTCCTTCTAAAATATATGCTGATATCCTCAATAATCGAATTATAGCAAATGGTGTGAAAATAATGATGTCTTTGTAGAGGAACAAAATGGTTTCCGCAAAGACAGAAATTGTATTGATCATGTTTTTTCTCTTACTAACATTGTTAAAAGTAGAATCAAAGCCAAACAATCCACATTTTGTTGCCTAGTGGACATGCGAGCTGCGTACGATAACGTAAATAGAGATTGCCTTTGGTTTAAATTACAGAAAGCTGGTCTGAATGGTAAAATACTGAAAGCTGTAAAATCCTTATACAACAATGTTAAATGTTCAGTAAGATTAAACGGTCAGTATACACCTTGGTTTGAGGCTAACTCCGGAGTCAAACAGGGTTGTGTGCTGTCACCATTGTTATTCTCTGTTTACGTTAACGATCTGGCTATAGCTATTAATAAATTAAACTGTGGTATTGATATTGATAACTGTAATGTTGGTATTTTGTTGTATGCAGACGACATAGTTTTAATTGCACCATCAGAAGATAAATTGCAAACTATGTTAAACAAACTTAACTCATGGTGCATTAAATGGTGCATGTCTGTTAATAAGTCAAAAACTAAAGTTATCCACTTTAGACCATCAACATGGCAGTTATCAAATAGAATATTTAATATTGGGAATATAAATGTTGATTACTGTAAATGTTATAAATATTTGGGAGT